TCTCCAAATCTCAACCAAATCGCTCAATTTTTTTAAAAAATGAAGCTACAACTGTCAGCTGTCAAATGACATAGGAATAACATAGATGCAAATGACTCCAGTACTTCCAAAAATGAACTAGGGCCATCTGTCACAAACATGCATCATGACTTTTCCAAAAACTCAATATTTCATCTACAATTTGGGTCTGAGTTAGGGCAAAAGCCCATTGCTGGTGTTTCACAGACCAGCCCAAACTACATGAGGTCTTCTCTTTCTTTCAGCATGTCCCACAGAGCCCAGTCCATCTCCTGCCTCTCTCTGTCCCCAAGCTGTCCAAAGCTGGTCTGGTCAGTGTGGCCTGAGTCAGCAGTGGGAAGTGAATTAGATATTGGCTGCTGAAATCTTGAGGGAGCCTGTGTGTTGGGGGCCTGCCTCTTTCTCCTGGATTTCTAAGTTGGCAGGGGAGACATAAATGGAGAAGGCTATACCAGGCTAGGAGAGGGGTATGAAAATGAGAAATGAGAAAAGAGACATGAACACACAATACTTTCCCCGAAGAAAAATCTGTGTTTGAATCCAAATACAATTCACATTGTATTATTTTTATTTAAAATAAAAAAATTCACGTTAATTTTTTCACAATATATTAGTACTCTACCTACCACAAATTTCTCCATAACACGTCAGTGAAGGATAATGCAAAAATTACTAAAGAGGTCTGTCTTGGGCCAGCTGAGTGGCTCGTTGGTTAAGAGTTGGCTTGGGAGCACAAGCTCTGAGCAGCAGGGCCACCAGTTCAGATCCCACATGGGCCAGTGATGCTGCGCCCTCTACAGCTAAGATGGTGAACAACAGCTCGACCTGGAGTTGGGCTGCCATGAGTCGCTGGCGACAGCGTAGGCTACAGTGAAGCTGCAGTGGGCTGCTGAAAGCTACCGTGAGCAGCTGGCAGTGGCCGTGAGCTGCCGTCCAATGGCCACTGACCAATTTGCCTCAGCCAGGAAAAGTGCAATGATAATACCAACATGGGCCAGTGAAGTGATGTCCTCCACAACTAGACTGAAGAACAAAAGGACAGGAACTTGTCTGTTCCCCTTCCCCGATTCCTCAGCGCTGTTCCCTCCCCCAATACTCCAATAAAATCTTAAAAAAAAAAAAAAAGAGTTCTGTCTAATTTAAGGACAAGTCAATTAACAACTCTAGGACTTAATACAAGTTATCAATGTAACCAGTCAAATTTTTTATTTATAATTAAATTATTTTGTACCGAAACATATTCAATTAATTAATTAAGCCAAATTATGCTCGTCACAAAGACTTTAAATATTACACTTTTATGCCAAAAGAGGCCAAGACAGGTAAAACTGATTTATGAAGGAAAAATTAGCAAAGCTTAAAAAGTTTCCCAAAAGAGAGAAAAAAAAATGTCTTGGCTAACATGTAGTCATTTCTTATTCACTTACAGTTTTTTCCAACTTTTAGGCAACGGGCAATTTACTATTAAAAATGCTGAACTGGGTAAAACACCAAAATAAAATAAGCATTTTAAATCCTAGAGATCTCAAAAGTAAACTTCAATTCAGAGAAATCAGAATTATTATTTTGACCTTATAAGAAGAGCTAGCTCATATTTATAATAGAATTTGCCTTGTGGAATTTGTCAGATGATTAAGAAAATCCCAAAGAGGTAATGTTTCCTCAGGGAAATGCCTTCTTTTCTCTCTTCCTTCTCTATGTTATAGACACAGCAGTGCTTGGAAGGTTGAATTTGCATTTTATGAGACTTTATTCTTTGTCCTTAAAAAAAAATACAGATAGGTCTTTGGAGGATGAGGGGAAAATGAAAGAAATCAAATTCATGTATAATTTAGGTCTATGACTGTCCATGATATCAAGGCAAATCTGTTTAGGCCTCTAACGACAAAGGTCACAGCCATGGTCATGACGATGCTTTCAGATTCATTTAGAATAAACCAGTGACATAAAATATACACGCAAACTTTTACATGTGTGGAATGTCACGTGATCGCTGTTTTCTTCTTTATTCTTTTCAACATTACTTAAATGTTATACAATGAACATACATTACTCTTATAGAACAAACACAACACAAATTGTTAAAAGGATGGCAAAGTGGTCTTTCCTTACACTCTCTCATTCAATGTCACAAAAGGGAAATGGTTCATTTTTTAAATTGTTCCATGTATTTATCAGTGAGAATCTATCTAATCAGTTCTCCAGGATGGGAGCAGGAGAAAAGATCAACAATCAAAAAGATAAGTGGATAAGCCAGATAAGCCAGGGGCTGATTCTCCACAGGAAGGACGGGGCATAGGACAACAGCACTGGTGCCAGTACTGCCCGTCTGGTATGTGCCCACATGGCACTGCCCATTGACCTCATCCTTGCAGGAGCAATCTCACCCATCAGGTAGTCACTGTCTGTAGTGACTTTAGTCACTTTACCTATTCTGTAGGTAAAGAATCTGAAACTCAGCTAGCTACCAGGGCCCCACAGCTACAACATGGCAGAGTTGAGATTAGGTCCAGCTTGGCATCACCCAACATGTTCTCTGTGCATTGCTTCCTAAAGCCTCCCTTAGGTTTGGTCCTCGCCAGAATTACCTTTCCATGTTGACTTGGTTTATTGTCTTTCTTTTGCCACACGTGTGCCTGGTAGCAAAAAAGAAACTCAGCGTTTACCCAACATTGGTCACTCTCACTTGAAAACGCATGAAGACGCCCCTCTTGGTTGGGGAGTAAGATAATCAGCAAGGCACCCGACAGGCAGGATGGTCCTGCTCAACCCTCCTGAGAATTGTTTTCAGCACATTCCTGCCTCTTCCAGGAAGGCATGGCTGACCGTGGAAGGGTCCTCTGCCACTTTACCACGCACGGCAGAACATGAGCTCACCTCCCACACGTGCCATCCTCCAACCTCAGTGCACGAACAACCCAAGAGCATTTTCAGAAGCTCCCAAACCTGATGCACCAAGCCCCTTACACAAACAAGCGACCCCACTGTGCAGCTGTAGCTGCTGTTGCAACTTTCAAAGTCAGGAGGCCAGCATCTGCCGGGTCACCTAGGAATTCCAATTCTCTCTGTTCGTGTCAAAGTTGTTTCTCACGACGTCTGCCAAGATGCTCATCATACTCCTGCTTACAGTCCAGGGATCATGATACAGAATAAATCACCAAAGAGGAAAGAGAAAGAAATTTGCAAAAAAAGAGGACTGATCTCTGCAGGCCTGTTCTCCAATTTTTGTTTTCAACACATTCCTTTGAAATGGGATAAAAACCAAAAGTGCAGAGTGCTGGGGTGCTGGGAGAAGCATAGCCTTTCCATTCTGTTTTAGACAGAGAAGGGCCCAGTTAAAATCTGCAACTGGGGTAGGGGAGCTTCCAAAAGAGCCCGTACACTTGTTAATCATTTAACGAACAGCAGTAGAAGTGATAGCAGCTAACGACTATGGGTCACTTACTAGGTGTGGGCACTGGGTTAAGCCTATGCATATATATGTTCATAATCTCACTGACTCTGAATGACAAATTCTCAAGGGAGCTTCTTTTATGGTCCCCATTTTACTGATAAGAAAACCAAGGGTTAAGAGTTTCGATGATTGTTTGAGGCTATAGAGCTGGGCTGGATTTTTTGTCCTGGGAGACCACAAAGTTCTTAATTGCTATGCTCGATTGCTTCCCATCAGTCCTTCAAGTGATGGGCATGTAGATTCCAAATAAAACCTGGTTTGCCCGTCCAGGTGCTTACCCTCCTCTAAAGTCTTACGTTAAGATCTTTCCATTTCAATAGACAAGGGGTGGGGTGAACTTAGGGGGTGGCACAGGGAGGAGAAAGAAGTGAACCCAGGGGTTTCAAATTGTAACAGGAAAATGGATTGAAAGAGCTAAATGTATGTGTTCAAGCCAAATGGTTTGGCAGATACAGCCACGGTCAGAAATTTGTGATGACAAGGACAGTCCTTTTCCACCCCACTTGGAGCTGCCTTTATATAACTTTATCTTTTATGTCCAAAGATCAAATAAAAAAAAGATCACATTTAATGAGAAGTAGGGAAAATATACTGGTGGCAGTTAAAGAGTAAAAATAACTTCTCTGTGGCTTCATACCACAGGCGTTTACTCATTTTAAGAGGCACAGGCAAATTACTTAGGGCCTTTTGGGCTGTGTCCGTCTCACGTTTCCTCCCACACCCATGGCAGTTAAAGTTATAGACAGTGAGAGCTCTTGAACCCGTGGAATTGTGTAGTAAGTGGAAGTACAACCAGGCCAAATGCATCAACTCCCAAATGCAACCTCTTCTGTATGTTAAATCCAAGCCTCCTTTGTAACGAGTCGCTGTGTGTGGCAGGGGGTTAATCACAGTGCGAAGAGGTTGTGGAATCTCTACTCCTAATAAGAGACCTGTTTCCTCCATCCTCAAGCTGTAATTCCACTCACTCCCCTCTGTCTCTGGACACAGAGTCTCTCCTAGCTGGCCCAGATCCAAGGCATCCTCGCATCACTGCCTTGTTTCCCTCATGCAGATCTGTTTTGGACTAGAGTCAATGAGGGAGGTCTGAACTCTTCCTCAGACCTAGAATAACCAAGCTCACTCAAACACCAACAGGTAGCCAGAGTGATTTGGGATTCCCACCTCGGCTCTATACCACTGTGGTTTCGATCAGAATTTGGGAAGTACTCATCCATCTTAGAGTCAAGCTAATACCTGGTAAAATCCTGGGGTGTCACCAGCTTCCCAGAGAATCTGCAGACACTCAAAAGCAGAATCACTTATAGGATATTACTCTGAAAATACTCCCTGAAATTTCCTAATTTGAGATTTAATGTGGAACTGACTCAAGATGAGATCAGTTGCTGAACAGAAAGACATACAAGTGTTTACCCTGTACTTTGGGAGCCCTTGATTTGTATACCAAGCAATTCAATATACTCGGGTTCAAGGTCAAGTCTATCCTTGGTCTGTAGCCCAATCCCATCCCCCAGAATACTGCACTTACCGGTAGAAGGTAGCATAGTCCACAGTTGAGTGGCAGGTCTGAAATTCCCAGGATTTGAGTTTCTGGCATTCTCGATGGGCTCGGAGCTTTACCTTCACTGTCCCTTGACACAGCTCAGGGACTGGTTTTCTCTGGGGTCTGTTGCAGAACTCATTTGACTCTACCCTCCAGGACTCGGCAAAGTCGTCCACATCAAACTTGAAGTTTCCATCTCCACCAATTAAGTCATCACGTTTATGTCCATTATAGTTGCCACAGAGACCACAGAGTTTGCCCTTGAGATGGGGGGCAGCCATGACTTCGACAAAACTGTCTCCATCCCAGGATATTTCCAAACCTACAGGGAAAAGAGAGAAAAAGGGAATCAACCACTCTTGAATCCACCCATAATTCCCAAGTGTATACATCTTTACATAGCACACATGACTGTCCTCTGACAAGGAACCCTAAGAGCCTGTCCGAATTCTTGGTTACCTTTTATTCTTGCCATATTGAAGGTTGTGTGAAACTACACGAATCACTTTTGGGGACTTAGGATTTTTAAACTACATAGAGTGTGACCTTATAATGATATCTTATGTATCCTGATTTGACTTGTAAATAACTACTCATTGACCATGTTACTCTAGGGTACATATTTGTGCTCTTTTATAAAGTAATTCTGTTGGTCCAAGTCACGCTTTCATTTATTCAATGATTACTCTAATGTGGAAATAGAAAGATGACAAAGATGATAGTTTTTAATAAATTTTTTTCCTTTATCCAAAAATCTTCCCATTTGACTATATCAAACACCAAATGAAAGTTTCCAAATTATTTGTTATTGTGAGTATATTAAATATATAGCTTATGAATACATCCTCTTCAAAGGCTAACATTCATATAAATGAAAACGTCTGCTCCCTCATTATTTTACAGTCATCCCTGAGACACGGATAGCTATGTAATCAATGTTTCCTAGAGTTGAGTGATTGTGAAACCCTTCCAACCTCCATAGCTTCCATCCCTGGACTGGTCATAAGCTTCGGGGTTGGCAGCTACCAGGCCATGGGCAAAATAGAAGAATCAGCAGGACGGAACAGTTTTATTCACCAAGGAAATGATCTTCACTCCAGAAGGTAGAGAATGTAGGCTTCTCTTGGTTTGCTGAACCGGCCATCTAAAACATTGGTGAATTTTTCTGAGAACATTCATATTTCTCCAGAAATGCTGGCCCAACTTTTCCAAGAGCCACTCCAGCCAATTCCATGGAATGGTGGAATATCTGTGTCACATAAAACACCCAGAATATGCTGTCTAAGCCAGGTTATTCTGTCACACACACAGATCAGTCTGACTAGAAGGTCAAGAAGAGATGTTCTCATAACCCATCCTGATACTGTGTGAAGACAATGTCCAAAGGAAAAGGGAAAGGTTTTAATGAAAAGCCTTTTGAGGTTCAACCCAAAGCAAATGGCAAGCTCTTCGAGTCAGAGTTTTTCTTTGTCTCAACTACATGTTAGCAGTTTTTCATACTCTTCTCCTAGTAACACTGTGAAAGTATCTGAGCCCTCAGTGAATGAATGAACTAGGAACCAGTGAATGCAAAACAGCCACCTGGGGCATGAACACCTAGGGACCATCTGCAAAGTCATGTGCATTTCTGCCCTAGGATTTCTCCTTATTCTTGTCACTGTATCCTAACAGTGACAACCCACAGAAAAAGGCTTTCTTAACATAAAAAAAGTCTCCCCACATGTGTGTTTTAATCTTACCCTCTTGGGGTTTTGACAAAAGCTAGTCTTATTTAGCCAGCTTTGGGCCTCTGGAAAGAGCAACATGACTCTCCTTCTGGAAGGCATTGCCTTTGTTCATGAAGTATCAAGACTAGCCTGATGAGCCAATGTTCAGAAGATCCTCAGAAGTTTGGGGGATGAGGTGGTGATAGGAAAGGATGGTGGGGAAGGAGGAAATGGATCTTGCTTGGATATAAAATTGGCATAAGGCAATATCAGGGCGATGTAAGGAACACCCAGAAGTAAGATTCTAAGGCCAGTATTCCCTAAGTTTGGACATGGTCCAAGAGTAGAGAAGGCTGGTCACACAACTGCCACAAGAAAGAGTTACAGATCTGCTTTAAGGACAGTTAAATAAACCAGTGGTCTGAAACTGGGTTTCTCAAAAAGTAAAAAAAAAGGCCCATATGAAAACCACTGTAGGGTGAATGAAAGAAATGGAAGCATTCTTAGTCCAAGGCAAACGGTAGAGAAGCTTTCTTGGTTGAGATAAGAAGCTGAGTTCAGAAAAGCAATTAAATAGAGTTGGATAAAGAAGAAAGAAAGGAGATCATAAGAAAGTGTCTCTTGGGAGTAATTCGATGAAGATAGTGATGGGACAAGGTCATTAGGGAAAGGACACAGAATATCCACATGCTGTGCTGACCTCTCATGTGGATCTCTGTGAGAAAACGGTGTCAACTCAGATAACCACAACTATCATATAAAATTATTTCTGTTTCTTCATACCCCATCATTCACCACATTATCTGGCACATAGTATATACTTACTAAATGAATGAATTACCCTGCAAATTGATACATCAAATCTGTGAAGCCAAGGAAATTGAGAATTTCATGCTAGTTAAGATACTGAAATAACAATTTTGAAAAAAGGCAAGCAAACTATAATAAAATTTGTAATATACTCTCTATGGTATACAAGAAACTTGACCTCACACGCCTGTAGCCAGGCAACTGCCCAGCAAGAGAAATGAGGGGAGAAAATCAATTTCATCCAACACACTAAATTTGAGAGTATAATTCCAAAGATTTTTTCCATGTGGCAAAATTTTCCAAACTAATACAAATCTCTTTCCTAGACAGCAGGAAAATACTATTCTTCCAAATGCCACAAAGGTTGAGAATTTCTATCCAAAAAAACTCCAACATCATTACTGACAACAATATAATAAATTTGATACTTTGGGCAATTGAGTTCGTGGGAATTCAGCTCACAGTGAACAAGCCAATCATTGTGCTCCTCCTTTGCAATGGACTGGTGGTCCATGCATGCTTGGAAAGACACAGACCTGTTGTGTTCTTAGTAAACTCTTCTTAAAACTCTGGACATCTCATTCATAAAAAATGTTCCCCCAAAGTAAGAGAATAATTTGTAATTCCCTCCCCTTTTGCCCCCTTTTGCTATTATTATATTAAGAGGATTTTCATGGACCGATGCTAGGCTTCATATTCTGGAGGGACAAAATATCCTACTACAGATGATTTTGTCTATGGCTGTATCATACACATATGTGTTTTCATGCTTATTTTTACCCTTTACAAGAGTAAAATCCATGAAAAGTAGATTATGCCAGTGACAGGCAAAAAACTAATCAGTTGTAATTGAAGAAATTGCTCTTCCAAAAGATATTTTAAGTAGACATCTTATGAGATGAAAACAGCACGGACGGGTGGGCTGGCGTTAGTCCTTTCTGCAGCTGGGATGAGTTTCCCAATTCTCTGCATGGGAAATTGGGTAGGAATAACTGGCAGAGTCAGAAAGCTGAAGCTGGAGCACATGTCACATCTGGGGATATGAGCAGCAGCCACATTCCTTCCACTGTAGGAAGGGCCTTCCAACTTGCCTTTCTCATCAGTGAATGTTTTAGCAACTTGTTCTTCACCCTTCAAATGTATGAGCTAGCTCTACACCACTAGTTTTGGGGGTTTTCTTGGGGTGGGGTGAGGGAAGTTGCTCTTTTATAATGTGTTTTTTGTTTGTTTGTTTTGCTTTGTTTTGTTTTTCGGTTGTTATTGTTGCTTTGGCTGTTGTCCATTTATAGGGGTGAGGAGGTACAAAGTCAGTAGACGTACCATAGTGATGCTTAAAAATGGATGGGGTTTCTGTTCAGATTTTACACCAAAGGAGAAAAGAAATATATATATATATAGTTGTCAGAAAAGTCATAACCTATTTTTTCTCTGTTTTTCATTGTAAAAATGTGCCATGACTTTTCCGACAACCCAATATATTCTCCTGATTCCTCAAGTGTAGAACTCTACCAAAAGTAAAACCAAAGGCCATACTCTCACGTGTTAATAATGCCTTTCAGGTGGATCTGATGGGACTTTCTCAGGTGGACCTGACAAAGTGAACAGATGGCAGAAAGAAAATATTTTTAAATTATTCGCTAAGTGCGGAGAGTTGAGTGGGGAATGTGATGGGGGTGGGCAGTGCTTTCTCAAGTTACTACGCTTTACTCTGTGCCCTCTGTGCTACCCCAGTTGTTATTAGCTATGCAGCTGCCGCCTGATTTCCCCCCAGGTGACATGGCCACCTGTGCTCCTCTGCCAGATAATTCTATCGTGAAGTGCTGAGTCCATAAACCACAGGGCAAAGTCATGCTTCCCTACTTCCCATCCTCCAGCCACAGGCTTGATTTAAGCTGTTATTTTGAAGAAAGTACCCTTTGATCATATGAGCTTATGAAATTATAAAAAAAGAAACTATGGAAGCAGAACACTCAAAGGATGCACTGTGGTCTTTTAAATAGACAATCAATAGGTGATAAAAAGGAAATACCCCTAAGGGGTAGTACAGGCTGAGATTGGTAGACCACAGTGGAAAAGACTAGTGTCTGGAAAGGGGATTCTTCCATTCAAAGGATAATCTCAAAGCACGTTTAGTGTCCAGAAGACTACAGTTCTTCTCTAGGAAGCAGGATGCTTGTGTGCTTCAGGTGCTCCATGAACTCGTTTAGCTGACTATTAAGGGCACCACATAAATTACGTGCATCACGGTAAAAGCAATGGAAAAAGAAACAAAATTGTAAAACTAAGTTCAAGGCCTAGGATAATTCAATTCACTAATCTAATTAGGGTACGGGTGATGCATTATTATTTTCTTAGCAGCCTCATTCTTTTGCGCATTTTTTTACAATGTGGAACCCTAACAAAGGGTACACTTATCCAGTATGGTATCGCCAGCTGTTAGAGGAACAGTGTCAAACCTTTAGGCTGTTGTCATAATCTTCGAGTATCCTGGATCCTTTTGAGAACTGGGCTGTGTGTGACTAATAATTTCCATATCAGGAGAATCCACTGTGTCCCGCTGGCTTCACAAACAGACAGGGAACGTGCTTCTAATTAGTGCTGTTTAATAATAATGTGCCATTCTTGTGCACATTTTACAGGGAGCCACAAATTGGTGCTAGAGCTGCGCAGTGGCCTGTCATTTGAATACAACAGGTGTCTGAATTTTTGGAGCAGGAATAATCCCTCCAAAGTTGAACGAACAGAGCTCTTCACATCTGCCACATTCAAAGTCAGGAATGGGACTCTCTCCACCTTTATAGAATGCTGCATTAATATTTAACATTCTCTCACTGAAACCACGTTATACTCTCTAAATGAAAGCTCCCTGGGCTTCTCCTTGGCTTCCTGCCTTGTTTAGCTAAGCGGGCATTCCATAGGCTCAAAAAAATTTATCAAATATATACGTGGCTTGAATTGAAACAATTGGCAGGGTTCAGAACGTCATGCAGTGGAACAATCTCTGTGGTCCGTCAGTAGTGCCTGCTCTATCAAACATTTCCCTTTTGGGTCCATATTATCTAAAGGAACTGGAACCCAATTGAATGCTTTCACATTGTTAAATTCTCATCCGTGCCAAAAGCAAGAGATATGCTAATTTCCTCAAGTATCGTGCTTAAAGAAACGGCCTAGTCTAGGAAGCCATGCAGTTCAATATCCAATTGACAAACAACATGTACTAATCGAAGGGAGCACAGAAGGAGCCATACGTGATGTAATAAAATGTGTAAACGAGCTGAATTCATTGTCTGGGAACAATACCGAAGAACTGAGTTCAGACTTTAAGGTGCCTCTCTTAGGTTGCAACTCCGAGACAAAATTTTGCGCCTCGTTGAATCTGTAGGAACAACTTAGCAACCATGAACAGTTTGTGGAACCGCGCAGTGAAAATACAGAGTCCAGGGGACCTCAGGCAACAAGGGATGCTGAGAAAGGGCGTCAGGTGTCAGATCCATGCGCCCAAGGCCAGGGAAGCGCCTTCAGAGCAAGCATCCTAAGGGTCCCCGGCAGGAGCCATTGGTTCTAGCCATCGACTCAGCGAGCACCCTTCCCCAGGGTCAAGAGTGGCCAGGACCGCTGGTCACACAGTCCGGCCTCGGCACTCCCATCTGCACACCCACACACGTTTGTGCTTTACTTTTTAAGATTCCCCCCTTCTGGACAGATGCAAACAAGGAAACACTCTCACAGATGTGAAACTGCACATTACTGGCTGAGCTGGGAGAGACACTGATAATTCCAAGCTGGCCATCAGTGGCCTAAATTTAGCAACAAAACATGAGAAAGAGGTTATTTGGAGAGTGCAACTGCTATTTTTGGAATAAGTATGGAGAGGCACTGGTTGTCGACAGACTGCAAAGCTGACGGGACTGGCGTCGGGATCGCAAGGCTCCAGGGTGTGCAAATTTCTCCAGCTCTTTGGGGGCATCTTCGAGGTCTCCCTTCAAAGCCGGTGAAGCGGAATGAGGCCACGCCTACCTGCTGCTAAAATATTTCTCCGCCTCCGGGTTTTCCTTCGCGGAGGAGGAGGAGCCGCAGCGCTCAGGTGGTGCTGCTGTGGGGGTTGGTGAGGCAGAGGGAAGAGCCAGAGGGACACAAACACCCCGTGCTTCTGGAAGCCCACCTGCTTTGGTCGTCACTTTCAAGAGATAGCCATCCAGGTCGATGTGAAAGTGCGGCGCCTGGCAGGGCAGCGCGATGCGCGAGCCGTTCCAGCGCACGGTCAGGTGCTGCTGGAGGCTGACGGTGCTGGCGCCCAGCACCAGGTCCACGGACTTGGTCCAGGAGAAGGAGCGGGTCCTGCGCGCGTCGTTTTTCACCAGCACCTGAAAGGGCGAGGCAGGGGAGGAGCAGTCTTTTGTCAAAACGTACTGACACGTCCCCTGAAAGTTAAATGTCCGTCCGTCAAAAGTGTTGTAGTGGGGATCTCCGAACACCGTGCAGACGCCGGGCTCTGCGGATGAGTGAGAGACAAAAGCAGGGTCATAAACCGAGCGAATGATTCAAACAGAAATCAGGGGTCCCTGAAGTCAACCTGAAGGTAAGGGAGGGCCTTAGCCAAGATGCAATAAACAATATACATCAACTTAAAAAAACAAAACAAAAACCTTTGGTTGTTTTAAAAGTCTGTGCCAAGCCTCATAGGACATGTCATATTTCTGGTACTTTTATACTTAAAAGTTATTTATAATACTTCTGAATTTTTAAAGCATCTCTATTTTGGAGCCTTGATATGCTTCTGTGGACTTAATGTAAGGGATAGAGAGATGGAACTAAGATAATTTTGTACACAGAACTGGCCTAACTTCATGACCCATATTAATAAAAACAAAACATAAATAAGAGGCAGCAACAATAAACGTCAATACATAGTGTTATTTCCATTTAACTAATTCAAAAAAATAGAAGATATGGTACTTTATACATTACTCATGGTTTTAAACGAAAGTATTATATTCAACACATGTATTTACTAAGGTCAGATAAATAGAACTGCCAAACAGATACATGTTTAACACCATTAGGAGCCAAGTACTAATAAAGTCCATAGTCTCTATGTTTTATAGAAAAAACAAGGCTCCTATATTTTGACCTGAGTCTCAAAATCTAAAGTTGGATAAAAATAAATTGTTTAGGAAATTTAAGACATTCCAGTGAGTTCATCATTTCACAATACCATTAATTCAAATGTTTATGAGACTCTAAGTAGAGTTTTACACTTTAGGGGTATCACAGATTTTTATGCAAAATTAAATATTTCTTTTTTTAAAACAAAATCTGCCATTGGTTTGTTCTCCATATAAAGATATTTTATCTGTTTTCAAGGAAGCATGAATAACCGGGAAGTGAGGAACTTATTTAACTCATTTAGAGAAACTAGCCCATGCAACAAAAGAACTATAATAAAAAGATCGATTTCCAGTCAGCACCAGAACAGGTCAAGAATAGAAGAATATCATATAAGGAATTGCTCTGAATATCTAAGGGAAGCATTAAGAGTCAAGACAGAGGGAAGATGTGCCAACAGATCTGATTGGACCAATGGGATCCAGGGCAAACATTTGCTTTTAAAGTTTAACGTGTTTGGAGAGTAATATTGTTGTACGTCGTGATCTACTATGTCATTTTACATGTCAATTTCACATTACTCCATTTAAGTCACATATATTTGAAATTTGGTAGATTAATTACTTGTTCTAAGTTAGCGTTCCTTATCAATATTTGATAGAGACTCAAAAAAGGGAGCTTTGACATGTAGGAGAGTTTCAATAAACAAATGCTTTAAAGAATAGATAAAAGGCATTGTTTGGGGGGTGAGCGCAAAAGAAGTGGGTGGGAGGAGAAACTGAAAGATCAGTAGCAATATTTGAATTCACCTTCCATTTCTGCTCCTTTCTTATGCTTTTCTTGGTTGTTTTCTCCGTGTGACTCCAATTTTACTCCGTTTGTTGCTACACCATGACCCCGCCCCCACTTCTCTGAGCCTATGCTCCCCAACTAGTGTTCTCAAGTTTCTAATCACCCCACAGCATTTCTCAGTCCTTTCTTCTTGTGATTACTTTCCAAATTGTCCTATCCCATATTTTCCTCACATTCTGACAAACAGAATCTCTCCCTGGCATAAAAGGGGTGCTCTTTGGTTGACAGGAATCAAGGCAATTCTTTGGAACCCAACTGGCCTCAGGAGAATTAGAGTTCAGAGTTGTGCCCCAAAAGGACTAAATGTTAACCTGACCACCAGATGTACCAAATTCAAGAGAAGGCTTTTTTCAGAGTTCTTAACTCCATATACTCAGCAAGGAAACCAGAACCAGTGAAGGCTTTGGAGCTTTTTGAGCGTGTAACAGATGGACCTCAGCTTGCGAAGGCCAACGTACTACTGAAGGTTTTGAAATTCTCATCCGGAAGAAACCCCCTCTCAGCTGTAAGCAGGCACAGGGAAAGCCTACGCCTCTGCCCAGAGTCTACAATGACAATCTCCCTGAAACAGGGACAACCCATTGCTTCTCCTGGTGTTCTGATAACAGTTGCATCAAAATTATCATTAACAAAAACAGTAATAGCTAACATTTACCTAGATTTCAGTATATACCCTAGCACTGTTCTCTGTGCCTACTGATCATGTATATATTATAAGAAAATAGATATTTAGTTTGTCTCCTAACATTAAACAAACAGCTAAGCACTTGGTAGTAAATGCATAAATAAAATGAATTATTATCTCGTCATTGGAAAAGCTTGTGAGGAATGTTCACGATTGAGGAAATGCTTGTGACATGTTAAGTGAAAAATAAGAAACAAAATTAACGGGCCGGCCGAGTGGCGCGATGGTTAAGAACTCGCTTGGGACGCCAGAGAGCCCCGGTTCGGATCCCACATATGAGGGACAGTGACACTACCCTCCACAGCTGAGATGCTGAACAACAGCTCAACCTGGAGCTGGGCTGCCATGAGTCGCTGGCGACGGCGTAGGCTGCAGCCCCTGTGGCAGTGGGTTGCCATG